TTAAACTTAGAAAAAGCTTATAGCATGTGTCATTTTACTTGGTTTGCCGTTTAGAGAGCCTAAGGATGTGTGATTTCTCAGAACACATGACCTATCAGGATTCAGGAATAGGGACATTTTGAGTGTTAAAAATAACACTTAAGTTACAGCATCTTTAAATAACTACTCCTTCAGGTAAACAGGAAGACTGTTTTAATTCTCTCTGCATTTTTACAGTTTTTATGCATGGAGTTTGTGTCCCAATGACTTTAAGACAATCTCTTTTGCTAAAAGTGCTATATAAATAAAGTTAAACTGAATTAAATTAATCTTTCATTAATAACCTCTAGCCAATTTGCTTTAGAGAATATTGTTAGCAGGTTTTTTTTTTTTTTTTTTTTTGCATTGTTGTACATTTACCCTCTAAATGTGCATAAACATAGGAAAGTGATTTCTCTCAACAAATGTTTGTTTTGCATGCAACAGTAGAGGGGTGACTATGAGGTCTGAATCTTCAAAAAGAAAAAGACCTAGAGGGATTTTGAATAAAATCAGCAGAGGGAACATTATAAACTGCAGCTAAGATTTAGAGGGGAGAAAAATTAAAGCAATTAATTCTTTGTGTGGGTTTCGGATGGAAAGAAAAGAATATTCTCCTCACAAATAGCCTAATCGTGATTAATGCACCCACTAGTCGAAAAAGTTTATGGATATTTCCAGAAAACGGAACAATTTAGAAAGTTCCATCTAAGCATTATTTCACATGGAGACCAAGAAAAAAACTATAACTCCATGGAAATCATAAAAGTCCAAGAATATTTACGGAATGCATTGATGCAATATATTAGATGAAACAGCCATGCACACTATGGGATAGCATGAGTTCAATTACTCTCTATAAAAACAAATAGAGCAGAGCATAATAGATTTACTTGATTCATGTTTGCTCATAATAATAAAGCTATACAGCTGGGAAGCCCAGCATGAGTGACCTTCTGATGCTGGCATGCAAAGTCACCCACGGAGTCTTCGCACCCACACAAGCATGCATACATTACCCTCTCAATCCTCCCTTTCTCCCGCCACACTCATGACCTGATCATTGGCACTGACGTGTTGTACAGTCGTGTAATATCTCTGTGGCACAGGGACACCTGCTACATGATGATCTGTGGTTGTAATGGGGGAAACGAGAATTTTACTGGTGCACCACTTTGATGGATGCGGTGTTGTCATGGCAACACAATGGTTAAACTGCCAGCAGTACCTCCAACACTCACAGCATATTTAAGCGTTTTTAAGAGACAATTGTCTTTGTGCGCTCTGGAAAAATTGGGCCATGAGGGAGGGGAGGGGGTTAGAAAGAGAAAGTAATAACTTGAAAGTGGCGTTGTATGGTAATGACATTTAAAAGGACAATTTTAAAAGAAATAGCATAGAAAGCACACTACTGGGCAAAACACGAGCTGCATGGTGATGCTCCAGAGAATATCTGGCAATAAATATAATAATAAAAGCATCTCTAGACCACAGTGAAGCGTCCATGGAGGAAGAGTCATTGTGTGGGAAAACCTTTTTAGCTGCAAGTATTGGTGAGCTACTTCACTGTGAAGTCCTTTAATGCTTTTGGAGTGGAAGAGAATATTGCAGAATGGCTTTGCTTCCCACATTGGAAAGCTGTTATCTAAAGAGGAATGGTCAGATGAACGGTTTTGCAACAAGACAAAGCTCCTGCCAAAATTGCAAAAACAACCAAGAACAAGTCCATCAGGGTCATGTTTTGTCCTGGTCAGAGTCCAGATTCGAATATTTAGTCTTACAGTACATTCAAACTCAAACTAACAGGGAGACATTTTTCAACTATGAAATGTTTGAAGCCATTACCATTGAGTGGAACAGCACTGACTTTAAACAAAGGGGAGGGCTATTTTGTGCTTCTTTATCTATAATATTTGTGCATTTTTTTTTCTAATTGACTCAAATGGTAATGACCATTAAACAACTATACTAAATAGACTACATTTTCACCATGGCCCTTTTTTGGCCCATGTTTTATATTGGCAACAAATACACTCTAGTGAGTCATAATGCTTTGTAAAGTGTTTCCTTTTTTACACAGCCACAGAAAAATCCATATCCCCTCACAGATTTGAGGGTTCTGTCTGTCTATCATAACTTCTTTTTAACCAGAGGCATCATCTCTCAGTTAACCATTAACCGCTTATACAGCAGCCAATCCACATTCAGCTGGAAACAGATGAGAAAGAAGAACGGATTAAGCCTTTTCTTGTTCTGCATATATTGTTAACAGATATTACTGTAAAGTCATTGTTCACACAAATATGAATATTTGTTGACACTTTTGTTGTGTAGTGTTTCTTCCATGGAAGACAAATGGAGAAATGTGTGACTGAGGGCCGTAATGCTCCAAAAAAGAATCAATATTAAAGTGCTATATGACTCAAGCACTGTATTCCAAGTTATGCACTTACTGTATATCTATATAATTGAGACTTATTTTTGATATTTTAAAAATTTGACAGCCTATGGTCACCATTCACTTTCAATGTAAAATAGCACTAGATTAATATATATATATATATATATATATATATATATATATAATTTTTTTAATTCATGTTTTTATTTGTTTTTGTTTATTTTGTGTGTGCTCCATGTACATCTTTCTTTCTTTTGTATGTGTATATAATTCACTGATCTTTTATCTTGTATAAACTACAATGTTTTGTTAACTTGCAATACATTATTTTTTTAATGTAAAAGAGCAGCATTAATATTGTGCTGAACATTTCCTTTAATATTCCACAGAAGAAATTAAGCAATATGAGTTTGGGGCAACATCAGGTTGAGTGGTAACACTTTAAAATAAGATTTGTTAATGTTACATTAGTGTAACAATGAAAAATACTTCTAAAGCATGTATTAATTTCAACATTAACATCTGTAAATGTTATGGACTTGAGTTGAGCTAACCTGAATAAACGATGAGCATATTTACGACCCATTTAAGATACATATTCGACCCAAATTTGGTTTAAAACAACCCAGCATTTTTTAGAGTGTATGAGCCATAAAAGCCTCATAAAAAACTTTTGTTTAGATTTTCTCTGAAGGTTCAATTAAGTGCTCCACTTATAAATAAAATAAAAAATCAGGCTATTATGTCAGGCTATACGATTTGATAAATAATGTAACAAACGTGCTGCTCATTGTTAATTGTTGAGTAAATGACAACAAGACAAGCAGTTATTACAACCAATGAGTTCAAGGGACAAATCACACACCATGAGCAGGTGAGATTGTGCTAGATAGATATTTGTATTAACAATTTCAATGCACCATTTCTCTAGCATCAAGTTTTTGTTTTGTTTTTGACATAATCTGTAGTCAATCTGTCTGTTATGTTTATCGTCACATTTAGCATGTTAATTTAACTGTCATACACAAAAAGAGAATACAAACCTTACAAGTGTGTTCTACATTTCTGAATTTCATTTCAAATTTCCAACATGATATAGACTTCCTTATTCAGTTAAATATTTATAGTTGAATGCTAAAATACTTAGACACCCTTGCTTCCTCTATCTGTATCCTCCCCTGGAGTTTGGCAGCGAGAGAACAGCAGAACGTTTAGCATTGGCTGCCGCAGGCACTCTGGATGCTGTTGTAAGATAGCGTTTGAAGTGGCACATGCTGTCGAAGATGCGAGCAGCCTCATGAAGGGTTGTTCTTTTGTTAATGGAGGATCTTAACCACATTACTAATGTACCAAGTATCAATCTTGTTTGGCAATGAGAAAGTTTAGAATGACTCAGAATGAAACTGATTTGCTTCATTACTAAGGCAAATAACCAGTTAAATATGATTAGACAGACAGACAGCCAACAAACATTGCGAATCATTTTTGCAGCGTATTCAAAATCTTTTTGCATCCACTCACAAGATCACCAGAGGGCTTTTGTCTGCTGATCAGAGAAAAATAACAAAGCCCTCCTCTGAAATAAGCTAAACCATCAGCTTCAAAAATGCACACAAAGTCTTTAATTTGATGCATTTAAACATGCATGATTTATAGCCTGGGCACATAAAAAGACCAAAAGTAATGAGTCCTGGCAGACCTTTGATTTATATGTCAATCTGACCTGACACGCCTGATGCAGAGGTTGCTGAAGGAGGAGATATTTGTGCTTTTCCAGCACATATTACATCCGTCTCTCCATCTCTGGTCCCCTTGCGCCTCCTGTGCTGAGACTTCATTTGTGACCAATTGATAATGGGCAGATATGTGAATGCTCTGTGTCAGGAGGCAACAACAGAAAATGGAGAGACATCACCTCTCTTCCCATGGAAACATCTTTAACAAATACTCTCATTTATATGTCCTCTAGCTGTCTCCTAAATCTTTCTTCCACTAGCAAGATTATCAAGATAATGGGTTTGGCTTTAATAATTAGCACTTAAGACTAATTAGCCGAAAAAGCAAATAAACATTGCAGCATTGGGATGGGCCCAATTTGACAAGAAATACTGCGCTCTAGTGGAGAAAAGAAGTAGGGAACTGTATAACAAATAACATATCCAGTGACCAAGAATTAGTTTCTTCAGTAAAGTTCCTATTACATTTAAGAAAACCAAGCTGTGATTGATAACACTGCTGTGCAAAGAAGTGACCTATGATTTAAACATGATGTTTTTTAATGTTTAATGCAAATTATAAATCCACAGTGTCCTTGACTTGATCGTATTTCATCACTTCTGTATAATAAATATAAAACAATTCAAATTCACCACTTGCTTTTGTCAAAAACATTAGGAGACACCGTCCTGGAAGCATTGTTCACGTCCTACAATTCTAAGCTCCGGATATTCCGCCTCTTTTCTCTGACTTAACATGACTAACACAGGTCTCCACGAATAAGCGCTTCCAGAGAACATGATTGACAGGAACATTGGCCAATGAGCGTACGAGCTTTGGCAGCTATGGCGTCTGTGTCCCGTCTGCTGATTTGCAACCCGCCGAAATAGGATCGGTGAAGAAGGAGACCTTCGAGCGGTTCGCCATGGACTGTTCTAGGATCAGTAAGGTTTAAATACGACTCTAACCATTGAGCGGTAAGTAAGAATGCTGTCAGTAACTTGTCTGATTCAAGGTTAGCGTTCGTGACCAGAACAGTCCGAATAAAACGGTGGTTTGGACGCTTTTGAGAACATGAATACGGTGGAATATCAAGTTTCAATCATGATGGTGGCTTTGGCCTGTCCTACTGTTGATCAAAACAAGAAGATTATCATTCCTCAAAGTCAACAATGACTTATGCAGGCTTCATGTGTATAACTTTATGCTTTCTCTTTATGTTAAGTAAACGCTACATTATATCACATGCTCATACTTCATCAGATATATGTGTTGCAGCCCGGTTTTATTTACCGGGTAGTTATAATGTTCAAGAGTGTGTGGAAAAGACATACCGTCGCGCGCTCACAAGCACGCGCGCTTCAAAGTTCAGCCGTCTCGCGCACGACGCGCAGAGGTGACGCTGTCAAAAAAAAAAAAAGTAATGTGGGTCATGTTTCTAAATCTCACCTCTATATTTGACGAAATATGTGATAATGTTAATGTTTTAAAACATCAATGTAACCGTAAGGTCATGAGAAATTATCTTTGTTCGGTGGATCTCTCTTTTTTGCAGCAAGAGTTTTTTGTTTTTGGTTTGGTTTGGACAAAGCATGCAAAACAAATTTAGCATCACATAAAAAAATATATTGAATTTTTGGAATGCAAAAAGAAACAATTCTGCATTGCTTACAATTTACAAGATTTTGAAGGATTTAGAAAAACCCATATTAACATAAACATAACTACGAATTAATTCACATTAATAAATTATTACATATTAGAAAAATATCATAGACATTTGTGTAATATGTAATTATTTTTATCCAGCAACTAATGTTGTTAAAAAATGTAGCCAGCAAAAAGAAATATACTACCTGAATATACTACCAAAAAGGCTATGAAATTGGCAAATTTAAAAGAAAATAATTTTTTTTAAGTCAACATGAATGAAAGTTGACTATTTAGTTTACTTTCCTAATACATGTTCCTAAATTGTTTGCATTCATAAAATTTAATCAAAAACGAGAAACTTTGCTCCACCTCTGAAAAACTTTCCTTTTCAGTTATTTTTCAACCCCACTTTTCTCAATCAAATCGATTGATGTTAATGTCTGCCCTTCATTTAGTCTGACTGAATATTCTATAATTTCACATCACATTACTTAAGTGTTTTATGTTGACCTGTTTGAAAAGTATACATAATATGTCGGTTTATTAAACCACACGTTTTTAATATTTTCTTTTTTGTTAGATACAAAGTTGCCTTGATAAGCTAATGATCATTGTGCTGGTGAGAGGGAAAGGATGGATCCGTCTGCAGGTATGCACATGTCCGCTGTTCCCCAGAACAGCGACATCGTCCACGTCTCTGTCAGTAACCCCATTATAACCATGTATCAGCCGCAACCTCCAAACATCGCACAGATCATCTCACAGCACGTGGTTCCTCAAGAAGTCTCCTGTCACACTGTACCGCACACAGTCCCGTCGCACATCCACATGCCAACTCACATCCAGACTCAGTCACACATCCAGCCTGCTCCACATCTGCAGGCCCCACAGCAATGCCATGTGGAAACACAGGCTCATATTCCGACCCAAGGCCATGTATCAACACAAGGTCCATCAGAAGGCCAGAATGCCTCAACGTCTCAAGACGGTGCAGCGAACTCTCTGCAGGTCCCTTTTGCAGAGGTAGCCTCCCTGCTGGACCCCAACATGAAGAGCTCAAAGGCTCGCAAGTACCAGATCCAGTATGACGAGGTGAAGAGGAGATTGGAACCGCCTGAGAAGATGTCTCTCCGCTCTCTGGCTGCCTACACAAGAGTGAGTCGAGGTCCGGCTAGTAAGAAAACACTCTTAGAGTCCCTAAATGTCTTTGGACTGTCACCAAGCACCAACACAGCAGTGTCCAGTTCATTTTCCAAACTAACTGAAGGTAAGTCTGGACCGTATACTTCTTAGACCAAATCATGTTGTTCCAAACCTGTATGACTTTCTTTCTTCTGCAGAACATAAGAAGATATGTTGATAGTTTTAGTGTTTTTTTGCCCATTGACTTTCATTGTATGGGCAAAAAAAATTACTAAAACTATCAAAATACCATCTTTTATATTCCGCAGATTAAATAGTAAGTCAAGTTTGGAACAACATGTTGGTGAGTAAATAATGACCAAATTTTCATTCCTTTTATACACAAGATGAAATGAATATAGATACTAGATTACTACAGTAAGTATACATAACTACATGCATTTGAATTATTTTCAGGTGACACAGCGGCCCTTTGCAAAGACATGAAGGATTTTGCACTGCAGTATGTTGATTATGAGAATATGGCTAAACAGTTGCTACCTGAAACAAACCAGGTGCAGCACTGGTCAAAAATCATTGAGACAAGGTAAAGTACTAGTAGGCCCGTAGAAAGGGCAATAAATGGTTCTGCTTTTATTCAAAAAGTTATTTTGGTTGTTCTTTTACTATTAAACAGGAACTACCTCGAGGAGATGAGGAAGATTTTTAACGACCCCATGAATACCCGCTTGTTCTCCAATGTTACACATGGGCTTGGTAACGGCATGATGGACGTGGCTCTCGATATCATAGATAACGTCATCGACCGACAGATCCGAATCCTCTCTGGGAATACGGACCCCAAACCCGAACTTCCAGCAAGAAGGATTCGGAAACGCAACCGCAAGCCCAAAGCTGCCACGGAAGATGGCAAACCTAAAGAAAAGGGCAAAAGGGGACGTAAGAAAGGGAAACAGATGCGGCTGGATTCTGTTGTTCCAGAGGTTCAACAGTCCACAGAGATGGAGAGCAGCGTGTTAACGCTAGTCTCTGTAGGATACGAAACCATATCCAGTGGACTCAACCCCACCAATGCGGGTCTTGCGTAACGTCCCGTGCCTGAGAGGCACACAGAGACACTGTGAATTCTGAGTGCAAACATTTTTTCATAGAAAATGTTAGTTTTATAAACATTAGACTTCTCTGAAGACTGATTATTTTCAATTTTCTCACTATAGTCAATCAAGAAAATATGTGTCTGAGAGAGGGTGTATGGCAGATGTTTTGATTTATACTTTACCAATCACGTCGCTCTCGACCTTTTTTGTTGTTTGTGGTAAAAAAAAAAACATGTTCACAAAAAATGTGTGCTATTAAAGTAGCATGCAAGCATTTTTTTTAGCACTATGTTGTATTTTATCTCTTAAATGTTCTTTAATTCTGTTGTACTTAATCTTACAATCTCTGAGCAATTTAGTTTGACTGAGAACATATCTTCTCTTGGACATTGTTTGATTTTCGGACTATTTATTTCCCTTTTTCTGTGTGTATGATTGTGTATGTGAACGACTATAGCCTGTACTCGGTAAGTTTTGCAGATTGCTCATCATATGCTTGTATTAAAAGCATTACCTTTTTTAAGTAATTTGTATATTCATAATTTTTTGTTATTGCTTCACAGAGCAAAGAAGGATTCATTCTAATGCAAAGGGCTGAAATGTACAATATCAAATATATTAACCCTTATGCTGCATTAGGGACATTTTTGGTCTTTTGCAGTTTAATTTCTTTGACCATTTTGGCTGTTTTAATGCAAATGGTATGAAATTTGGCAAAATTGTGACTTTTTGGATACATGTAAAAAATGTGATCCCATTTTGCAAAATATGTATAACACACACTGTGTAGATCAAATAGTAACACTCAGCACCATAAAGACCAAAAATGGCCCATTGAAACCCATTAAAACGTTTAAATCTGAGGCTGTCAGTAATACATGAAACATGATTTTTGCACAAACATCCTTTCATTTTGAAGCAAAAGCATTATATTTGCATTATATAGTGTATTCCACCAGATGACGTCACTACATATTTATTCCCTATGGGTGGAAATGCACCTTATTTTAGGCAATAGGCAATGTTTAATAGGTGGCCATTTTTGGTCTCTAACGCGCTAAGTGGGATTTTTTGCAAAGTGGGACTGTGATAATCCAAATCTAAAGTTTTCTCTTTGCATTTAGTTTATTGAAAATAATTGAATTTTTGTGTTTTTTCCTCTTATACAAATCGATGGTTTCGCAAACAAAACTGGTAATTAAAGGGTTCAAATCCTGAAATTGAATACATTTTTGGTAGTTATGATGAGGACTGATCCTGGTTAAAAGATTTAACTTGGTAAAAGTGGAAAATAATAATAATATATAATATTTTAGGCAATGTTTAATATGTGGCCATTTTTGGTCCTTAATGCACTCAACGGTGTTAAAAATCTAATGCAGCACAAGGGTTAATTGCAATTTCTATTGCTCATAATTAGGGTTTGAACAAAAGTATTAAAATTTGGAGTCTTCTTACTTATCTCGCACCCTTTGTGCTACGGGCCGAATGATACTTTAAAGGTGCTCTAAGCGATGTCACACGTTTTTTAGGCCCAAACATTTTTTTGTCACACACAGCAAACATCTAACTATCCGCTAGCTGCCTGTCCCCTAAACACACTGTAAACAAACACGGTCTATGCAGACAACCCAGGCTCCACAAATGGCAACAAAAACAAACTGCGGCAACCCGCTCCACGAAACATAACAAACTGTTTCAGCCACTGACAAGAAGGTCCTGGGGGTGGGGTTTGGGGGGTCAGTGCGCAGATGAGGAGGAGGGAGGGCCTATCTAGCCTCCGTTTTGTTTGAAAATACTTTAAACGTCAACAAGAAGTCACGTCACCCGACATCTTTAAATTGTGTGGGGTTTTTGAGAATGAATCAGTTTTACGATTTTCATTGAACAACAAAACATGATGGGACAAAATCCAGAAGCAGCCACGTAGCATGTTATAATTTATTGGTTTTATACATCCCCTCAAATATTAATAGTTAATTGTTTTGTTTTCAATTATGTTCAGGTCAACTGCTTTGTTATATTTTGTTTCCTCGAAAGATTTCTGAATCCCTGGTGAGCATACAGAGAAAATCCTCACCCTGGAGTCAGTTTTGTGGCTCAGCCAATGACATTGTTTGTCTGTTTGTTGTTCCACTCTCTCTTCTGCCCTCTAGGAGACATTTGATGAGAGCGAGCTGCAGTTCACAGTGTCACCTAAAGGCGGCCTGTCCACTGTGAGGCTTTGTTTGACTTGAGGATTTGGAGTGCATTAGTGAAGGTTTCAATGGAGAGACAGGGATTGAGAGGAGGAAAATAAATGAGGGAGGGAGGAGTTTACGTCACAGACATACATATACATGGAAAGAAACAAAGCAGGTGGGGGACACAAAAAAGGACAAATATATTCAGATACAAAGCTAGAGATGGAGCTGTGTGAGATTTTAGAAGAGAAACGCAGTCTACACTGTCCTAATCTGGGACACGAGCAGTGCTGAGAACTTAACAGGTCGTCACAAACTCGCATAGACATATGGACAAGATGGGGGCCAGTCGTCCACTGCCCAGCCCGCCCAAGGGTAAGTTAGTAACAGCAGACACAATAGAAACTGTTTGAAGATGTACATTTTGATATACATTTTCTTTTTCCTCTCAGATTCATTAAGTGTTGCAATAAAGGCTATCAGTGTGAGCACAGAACTTGTCGAGGAGGAACTAAAACCCCATTTGGAGACAATGTTGAATGCTGCCATTGAAAGAAGTGAGTATTTCATGTTTTTGTTATATTGCTAAAAATTTTGATTATTTATTTGGGTGTCAAATATTTGGGACATGATCTGGATGAAGAATGTACCTGTAGTTGTAATGGTGCACATCATGGAGACACTGTGGACTTGTATAGTACTAGTTGGGGACTTGTTTACCAAAAACCATGCCCTCTGAGCATTATACAGTACGTAATAATATTTTGTGACATTTATTTATACATAAAATAGTTTCTTTCATAGAAAGTAAAATTAAACTGTTGTTAATTATTATTATGATGAGCTTGTTTGAACTAGTTAGATGCAGAACGTGCCAGAACTTTGTGTGAGGTTTGAAAGCTGCTTAGTGTGTACTGTAATTACTCTATGGCTTTAGATACTGTATCTGTGAGGCTACTATCACAGGTTATTATGCCTCTTTTTTGGAATACTCGATTCTGATTGGCCAATCCCAGCATTTTGCGCGAGGACCTCCAAATTGTTTCCAAACATTTATTTTACAGCTATGTTAGTTTCATGTTTTTTGCACCACTCTACATATTCTTTCTTCTCACATATTCAAATAATTTAAACTTAAATCAATGTTTGATGTGTAAAAAGCAGGATAATGTACAGTTAGATTATGTGCTGAAATGATTTATTTTACGATTATTGATCAGCTAACTGTGCATTATCCCATGCTTATCACAAATCATTTGGGCACAAGTGATAAACCATACTTGCTATGTCAATGAGGATGGCTATGAGAAGGTACGAAAAGGTACGAAAACAGAGACGCTCTAATCCGTGTTTGTCTCTGTGAGATCCATTGAGTGACAGGAAAGATTAGCCAGACTGTTCACTTGTACGCAAGCATCCAGATAGCCAGCTGTGAGCGACATCTGTAGTTTGTGGAAACATAATTTGTGTGAAAGTGCAGGGCAACTGAATGATGGCCTAGCTTGTTGGAAACAGTTGATCCAATTTGTTGGTCTTTTAGACTTTTCAGACTTTTTTTTCTTTTCTTGGGTTTGTAATATATACAATACAATAAAAATGTTCGTGTGAGTACAATTTTAAAATAAATTTTGGTTACAGTTTATTTGAAGGTGTTTTTGTTACAGTGTAATTCTTCATTACAAGTACTGAGCAACATTATTGAACAAGTACCTACTATAGCATAGTTGCAATTATGCATAATTTACTGTTATTCATTTAGCAAGTACACTCACCTAATAAAGGATTATTAGGAACACCTGTTCAATTTCTCATTAATGCAATTATCTAATCAACCAATCACATGGCAGTTGCTTCAATGCATTTAGGGGTGTGGTCCTGGTCAAGACAATCTCCTGAACTCCAAACTGAATGTCAGAATGGGAAAGAAAGGTGATTTAAGCAATTTTGAGCGTGGCATGGTTGTTGGTAGCCTGGTTCAACCAGACTCTAGTTCATTTCATTTCCACATAGAGTCTGGAACCGCTCCATTGAGAAACGTTTCCTTCCTTGTAGGCGGGTTCACTATTAAAGTTCAAATCTATTGGATCTGCCCAAAGTCACTCACGATCTGCCATAGCCAATCGCTAACGGGGTGTCGTGAGTGACGTATGTCACGCGCCGAAATGGCTGGAAACAACAAGTCCGAATGATCAGAGGATTATGTTTACAATAGGATTTCAGTCAACGAGCGCCGCAGGTTTTGTTAATCTAGGAACAATTATTAATTCGAAATGTATATTTGACACGAAGGACAGTGATATATTCATTCAACGGTGGAAGCTGTGTCTAATCATTACAAATACGCCGCTGTGGTCGTTTTCTGATCTGCCGCAAATGCTGTAGCAGCTACAGTGAATGATCAGTCTTGTCTCTATCTGCAGATGTGTAATAAACAACAATTTTTCATATTACGTCTTATTGTTTCTTAATTACCTTAATTATGGTCTTCAAAGTATGTGTTTGTACATTTTTATGTGGCATTTTCTTTTTTTTAGTAAAACAAATCAACCATTGCCATCTAAAACTGAAAATCAAATATCGTCAAAGTCACTTCAAAGACAATTATTTTTAAAAAATCACAACCAATTTGTATGATTTACAACATGTAAAACTGACACACCAACCTCCTGCACGAGTGCACAAAGGGGCTCAAAATGTTCTATTCATCACAAGAATCAGTAAATTTACAGTTGGGAATATGAGCGACAGACATAACTCCTGAGCGGATCTTCAACCATAGTTTAGCAGCCAGGACTCGGGGCTTCCGAACACCGCGAACACCAGGCTAAACCGTCCGTCCAAAATGTCACGGTCATCGTGCCCAGCACAAACTTCCAAACTTTCTGCCTCCTTCACTTGGTCCTCAGTTGTGCAACAAGAGGTGAGACGATAACAATCCGGCTTTAAATTCTGTATATTCGGCAGTTTCTTTTCCAACAATGGACCGAATAGCTTTTCTCACGTCTTTCTCCGCTGCCATTACTGAACTCAAACTGACGCGCTTACATCAATGTCATCTTTCTCAGCCACTCCCTCTATTCGCTGATTGGTCCTACAAAAAATTGATTTCTGGAAACCTAAGGATATGGAGCGATCCCAGACGTAGTTACTGAAGTAAAATGAAATTGAGCGGAAGTGCGTAGGAGGGCGCAGCCAGGCTAGGTTGTTGGTGCCAGACGGGCCGGAATGAGTATTTCACAATCTGCTCAGTTACTGGGATTTTCACGCACAACCATTTCTAGGGTTCACAAAGAATGGTGTGAAAAGGGAAAAAACATCCTGTATGTGGCAGTCCTGTAGGCGAAAATGCCTTGTTGATGCTAGAGGTCAGAGGAGAATGGGCCGACTGATTCAAGCTGATAGAAGAGCAACTTTGACTGAAATAACCATTCGTTGAAACCGAGGTATTCAGCAAAGCATTTGTGAAGCCACAACACGCATAACCTTGAGGCGGATGGGCTACAACAGCAGAAGACCCCACCGGGTACCACTCATCTCCACTACAAATAGGAAAAAGAGGCTACAATTTGCAAAAGCTCACCAAAATTGAACAGTTGAAGACTGGAAAAATGTTGCCTGGTCTGATGAGGCTCGATTTCTGTTGAGACATTCAGATGGTAGAGTCAGAATTTGGCGTAAACAGAATGAGAACATGGATCCATCATGCCTTGTTACCACTGTGCAGGCTGGTGGTGATGGTGTAATGGTGTGGGGGATGTTTTCTTGGCACACTTTAGGCCCCTTAGTGCCAATTGGGCATCGTTTAAATGCCACGGCCTATCTGAGCATTGTTTCTGACCATGTCCATCCCTTTATGGCCACCATGTACCCATCCTCTGATGGCTACTTCCAGCAGGATAATGCACCATGTCACAAAGAACATTTCTTGAACATGACAATGAGTTCACTGTACTAAAATGGCCCCCACAGTCTCCAGATCTCAACCCAATAGAGCATCTTTGGGATGTGGTGGAATGGGAGCTTTGTGCCCTGGATGTGCATCCCACACATCTCCGTCAACTGCAAGATGCTATCCTATCAATATGGGCCAACATTTCTAAAGAAGAAACATTTCTTTCAGCACCTTGTTGAACGTATAAGGCAGTTCTGAAGGCGAAAGGGGGTCAAACACTGTATTAGTATGGTGTTCCTAATAATCCTTTAGGTGAGTGTAAATGTAACATGTACAGTGCATGTAACAAGGGCACTGTAAAATAAAGTTTTACCGAAAGTTTATACAGTTACAGTTACAAAATATTGTTAAATGCAAATAAATAAATGCTGTTCTTTTGAACTTTCTATTAAAAAAACAAGCAAAAAGGATCATGTGACACTGAAGCCTGGTTTAATGATGCTGAAAATTCAGCTTTACCATTGCATGAATAAATGACTTTCAATTAAATTAAATTAGAAAACTGTTTTTGTTTATTGTAATATTTCACGATATTACTGTGTAACTGTAAGCGATAGTGAACATAAGTGATTTAGTTTAAAACAATAATGCATTTTACTGACCCCAAACATTTGAACAGTTTTGTATCTCGATTGTTTAGAATGAACGTGTTTTCCCTGCCCTAGAGAAAGGCATATCCGAGCAGGTGGTAGAAAGCGGGATCCTCCCTGTTATGGCTCAGATTTTAAGAAGGAAAAGCACTCTCACTATTCACACTGCCAGGCTAGTAGCTGAACTGGCCAGAGACGGTAAGAACATGTTTTATGTATACTGTTTTTGTGTAAATAAACATGGTTATGTTAATGTTTTTATTAACTAACTGTTTACTTGATGTTGATGAGCTCAAAATCTGTTTATTATTCTATAATTTCTTCTTTAGCTCCTGTGAGAGAGCAATGCTTTGAGACGGGCATTGTGTCTGCCCTTGTGACCTTACTGCTAAGCCAAGACCAGGACCTTCTCCTTCACGTTAGCCAGGCCATCGCCAGGATCTGCTATGACAGTGAGTGGACCTGAACTTTTGCACTTTTTTTCTTTTAAATCATAGATTTTAAAAGCAGTACTGATGTGAAAGGGCATTAGTCATATTTCATTAAGTAAGACTCAGATTTTAATTACATTTGAAGCAGCCTATCCGAGAATACAAAGCTATTGAACCCCAATTGATGTGTATGAGAGGCAATTGTAGGATTTCAGCCTTGAACTTGAATCTGAGATGATGTGGCTCAGAAGAAAGAGTGGTTTCAGAAAATAGTTAACATTTTCGAATAGTTTCATTTTTGAAAGTGTTTGAAAATGCATGGCTTTCAATGGAAATGGTGTTTTTTTTTGCCTGCCTTTCAGTGTAATGATTACACTGGAACAGATGGTGTTCACATAAGAGATAGAGAAGTGGGGCTTTCAAGAGCTGTGTGTGAACATTGACACAAACTGTAAAATACTTAGTGGCGGGTTTCGGAGTAAAAAATAACCCCTGAATAGCTTAGGGCAGTTGGTGTTTTTCAGAGAATGTGAAGAGAGATCACACCAGATTTCTAAAGGGACACTGAAACAAAAAAAATTCTGTCATATTTTACTCACCCTCATGTCACTGTCTTTCTCACAAAAGAAAAAATGTTGAGAAATCTCTGTCAAATGAGTTCCCAATGTTCTTCAAACACATTTTTTTGTGTTCCACAGAAGAATGGAATACTTAATGAGGAATGTTGACAGAATTTTCATTTTTGGGTGGAGTATCCCTTTAAGACGCTGGCAACTTCATTCATGCAGATTTTTAGGGGGGCTAAGATGAAAAACAGGGCGTTGAGGAGCCCCTAAGTAGAGCTTAGCACCATATATCTTGATGCTGACTCTGGAGTTTGAGATGTAAGTGTGATTACTTTCTTACCAGACTTGCAGCAAGAGCGATTCCTGAGGCTCGGAGCTGTCCCGCGACTGGTGTCGGTTCTTCTCCAGCACAGTGGGAATGAGGCACTGCAGAGCTCTTGCCTTATGGCCCTCTGTAACCTGTCAAACATGGGTGAAGAGGACGGCTCAATGCTTTCCTGGGAGGAAGGGGCATATTTCGGTGAAGGGGAACGTGTGTTCCGCGGCACCTCGCGTTACTGTTTCGGCTTCTCTTCGGCTGTGATGGTGGTCAGGCTGAAACAGTGGACTAACGGCCAGTACTCTGTGGCAGTAGAAGTGCTTCAAAGATGCTCCACAATGCTGTGGGGCGCAAAAAACGCCCACCAGACTGGACACCGTTTACCGAACTTTGCCCACTTGGGAAGCTGCCCCAAATTTTATAAAGTTATCAAATGCTCAGTGAAGAACATACCGAGAAACAGGAATCTGAGGGCAGCCGTGCTTCATTCCCTCATGTGAGGCTTCATCGGAGTGCAAAGGTGCCTAAAACAGGTGATCTGGCGTAAACCACGTCCTGACATTTAAGGAGCTCATTTCACCCATTTGCATTTGAGAATGGATCTGAAATCAACAAAAAACACAGAATATTACCGCTCTTGGTTTCCTATTGCTAAGGGTACCAAATAAATGCCAGATCACAAGACATGCTGTGTCCTGGCTGTTTAAGTCTTACTTGCTGGCTGTAGAGGATGTCAACAGGTGGGCACCGAGCTGCAATCTGCTAGCCTTTCTGAACTCTGTGATTAGTCCATAAGAGGCCTTATAGTAGTGGATTATCCAGACCCAGTGTTCAGGGTCAGAGCAGCTACACTCACCCAGATCACAATATGCAACCATGTTGCAAAATGCACCAAGGGAAATAGATTTATAGATGAAAATGGTGATTTATGTTTACATTTTGTTTTGAGTCCAGGTGAAAGCAGACTTAACTAATTTGATCAGTGTTACACATAATTGGGTTTTAAATTGAGAACTGCAGAATGTTAATGTCCATCAATAACAATGTAAAATAAAACTAAAATGGCCTATACCTATATTGCATGCATGTAGGCCCAGCGGGGGTGGTGGATTTCACACTGCATTTAGGGTTCCCACAGACAATGAAAAAGTTGAAATATTAAGGCAATATTAATATTGTGTGACTAGATTTTGCTTTTGTGTAAAGTCAAACCTGCTCAAGCTACACTACTGTTCAAAGAGTTGGTAAGATTTTGAAATGTCTCATCAAGTTTGCATATATTTGATTATTTGATATTATTACAATTTAAAATAACTCTTTTCCATTTGAATATATTTTAAAATGTAATTTATTCCTGTGATGGCAAAGCTGAATTTTCAGCATCATCACTCCAGTCTTCAGTGTCACATGATCCTTCAGAAATCATTCTAATATGCTAATAACTGTCAGCGTTGAAAATGGTGGAAACTCATATTATTGTTATTATTTTAGAATTTTTTGATTAATAGAAAGTCTAAAAGAGTCTAAATTATTTCAAATAGAAAGCTTTGGTTACATTACAAATGTCAATACTGTCACTTTAATGCATCTTTCTTGGCTGAAAGTATTAATTCCTTCTTTTTTTAAACATACTGACCCCAATCTTTTGAACCGTTGTGTATGTCCAGTTTGTTCTTTTGAATTGGCTCTTTTCAATGAATCAATCAAACTGAGCGATTCAATAGTGATCCCTGTGGGGGACAAGAGGTTTGGAGAATGGCTTTTAAACAAAATCCTTATCCATCATTAACAACTGGAAAGGTCGAGGTGTGAAAGTGTGGGAACCCTGTGGTACAACTGGATTGTAATTTTACCTCCTGCATCATCACACAAATGTTCTGATGGGACTGTTATTATTTTTAAATGACGTCATTACAAGCAAACATTCACAAATTGATGCTATCAATAAACCTTTTCTTTTAAATTTTTTTTAATCCATTTGATTTTTTGACATCAGCCTTGTTCTGAAAAAACACTTCCCCCTTAAATAAGTCATTCTTTTCAAAGAGAGTGAGTGAGGTTGGCATTGAGTGGATGTTGTTCAGTGAGGGCCCTGTACTGTGTCAGCGGATCCCAGTGGGTGCCATTGCCTGACCAGCTCCTGTGGTTTGCTGACCATGTCGTTCCAGTGTTCCAGTTCTCTGCCCCTTGCATACATGAACGGCCCAATCACCACAATCCCCAACGACACTGGCATTGAAGACAAAATAGAGTGACTCAGTAAAGATACATAGGTGACAGACATTTTTAATGGTGCATCAAAAATAGTTGTATGTCTTTAATTTTATCAGTAATGGTAAATGGACTTCATTTATACAGTGCTTTCACAGACCCAATGGCCACCAAAGCACTTTACATTTTGCTTCACACCCATTCATACACCGACGGCGGTGTCAGCCATGCAAGGCGCCACCCCAGTATAACAATTTCAATTATTTAACTATTTATTTTAATTATAATTTGAGTTTTTCATATTTTCATGAGTTCATATTTTCAGTTTAGGTTTAATTTGTAGTTATGTGCTTAATTTTTTTTTATTAAGTTTTAGTTATAGTTTAGTTTTAGTTCTTCACTTAGTAATTTTAGTGCTTCATTTATTATTGATCTAAAGTATTTCATCTAATATATCAATTCACAAAAAATCCTTCTTATGGTTTTAGTTTTAGTTAACAATGATAACCTTGATTTTCCTAACCGCTGATTTCGTATGCAGCCGCCATTTTAAAAATCGAAAGCGAGGCTCCGGGGGGAAGGATCCCGGAAGTACAGATAGACAACAATGCCTTGGACTACCAACCTGAAGCTACTGCCAAGATTTACACTATTGGATGTTAATATCCAATGTAGGATATGTACATAGTTCGTTCCTGCTTCTTTTTTTTTAACGTTCTGAATATATATAAAAATACATTTAGGTACATTTTTAGAATAACAAATTTCTACATTAAACAAAACAATTATACGCCATCGCATTTGTGACTCTAACTGTAAAAAATACGGTAAACTACTGGCAGCTGTGGTTGCCAGCATCATACCGTAAAAATACGGTGTGTTACTGTTTTTGAAATTAACAGCTAAATACTGTATTGTCAGATACAGTATAAAACTTTAATTTAACAGCTACATGCTTTAACACAAAAACAGTAACACGCCGTATAGTTATGGTATGATGCTGGCAACCACAGCTGCCAGTGGTTTACCGTTTTTAGGCAACACTTCCGGTTTTCTTCCCACCGGAGCCATTTCAAAATGGTGGCAGCGTGAAATCAGCGTATAGCGTTTCATTTTTGAACATTTACATCTGTTCCCCCAATATTTTCATTTGAATGAATAAAATGTAAATTATATTATGCTAATTAATATAAATTATATGAATAGATTGTTTTGTTTTGCATTCTGTTATTTCTGTATTAAAGGGATGAAAATTGTGTCATCATTTACTTGTTCCAAACCTGTATGAGTTTCTTTCTTCTGTTCATCAGAATGTTTAACAAATATTGGTAACCAGAAAGTTGATGGCACCCATTGAATGGCACCCACTGACCAAGTCAATGGGTGCCATCAACTGTCTGGTTACCAAAATTCTTCAAAATATCTTCTTTTTTGTTTAGCAGAAGACAGAAATTCATACATTGGAACAACTATCCCTTTAATAATAGCAGGATAGTGCATGTGAGTGATGCCCTGTCGCCTTGGAAATGATTGCTTGACATTTACCAGGGTCTTTTGTGCTGGGCTGCTGAAGCTGTAGTGTCAGAAAGGCTGTGTCGAGCTGAATGGGGAGGAGTCGGAAGGTAAGCCTCTCATTAAAGGATGGATAATTTCCTTTTGCCACAGAAGTCCATTTGTTTCTTGCCATTCGATTATGCATCTTTAGAGAAACCTGGGCACACACACCTGTACCATTCATTTTACACGTGAGTTAAAGGTGCAGAGACTTGCAACTAAGTTGTATTCTTTACTGCTCTGTTTGTCACCTGCATCACTGGAACACTGCAACCCTCGTGCTCGTAAAACAACCACAGTGAGGCGGTGTAGGGACTGATTGTAGTTCAAAGACACCTGGATGTCACCATTTTTTGAGAGGGACTACAACAGCAGAGAAAAAAAGACACATTCAGTACAGCATACTTTCCCACAAAATGCTCAGAAATCATATCAAAGCCATGGTTCGCCATATAATGAAAGTTCTGTTTTTCACCCTTACTGTATTTCATTCCAAACCTGAATGGTTTTCTTTCTACTGTGTTCCATAGATGGAAGTTTTTCAGGTTTGGAAAGACTTGAGGGTTAGTAAATGATGACAGAATGTACATATAGTTCACCCAACAATATAAATTCTGTCATTATTTACCCACAAATTGCTTCCTGTAAATTTCTTTCTTCTGTTGAACACAAAAATATATTTTTTTAAGAATGTGGATACCCTAATAGTTTCTGTTCCCCACTGACTTCCCCATTGGCTTCTACAAAATATCTTCTTTTGTGAAAGAAACTCACGCATGTTTAGAACAACTTGAGTGTGAGTAAATGATGACACATTTTTTATTTTGGGGGGAACTATTCCTTTAATATCTTAAGATCTCTTAAAGTATCATACCTGATCACTTTCATTGTCCAGATCCCTCCATTGCACTTCGCCCGCTGCCTCCTTTATTTCAGCATGTCTGAGGGGGATCAGTACGTGACCCACTAGATGGTGCTTCTTCTGATGGTCCACAGTGTACATGCTCATATTCAGAGAGCACTGGTCAACACAGCCATTAGATACCTGTTAAAAGGCATAGGAATCAGTTTATTTTGACCATACAGTTCTAAAGTTTGAGTGTGTTTCTTTCCCCCAGCAAGATTAATTTGGTCAAAAGGGACATGAAAAACATTTATAATGTTACAAAAGCTTTTTTATTTCAAATTAATGTTGTTCTTTTGAACTTTCTATCCATCAAAAAATCCTGAAAATTTTTTTCGGTTTCCACAAAAATATTAACTGAACTATTTTCAACATTTTTCATGTTGATATTCAGCATATCAGAATGATTTCTGAAGGATCGTGTGACACTGAAGACTGGGTTGATGGCGGCTGATTCTGTTTTCAATCACAGAAATAAATTGCATTTTAAAATGAAAGAAAATATTTTTATTTTAAATTGTAATATTTTACACAAATTCTGATCAAATAAATGTAGCCTTGATGAGCATATGAGCTTTCTTTAAAAAACATAGAAAAATCTGGTAACACTTTACTTAAAGCCTTTATATATAATGCATTATAAAAGTTTTAATGCATTAGTAATGCTTTGTAATACACCGTATAATGTGTTGTATGGTCCTATGAATAATTATAAACAGTTATTATACATTACAATACTTTGCCACATATAACTATAACACATTACAAACAACCAATTTCAGATGGAACCATGAATTTCTCCAAATATAATCCATTTTTGCAATTATTTATACAAAGATATCACTTACATTATGAATACCTTTACAGATTATACATCAATACAAGTAAGTTTAGCTGTTGACTTTACCAGAGTTTAATTTCAATTTAATCCCCAATTTGTAATATACTGTATATATATATATTATACATAAAGGCTTATCTTAATTTATTTATTAATTAATTCATTTATTTATTTTATTATTGTAATTATTATTTATTAATTTATTTTTTTAACAAATTGGGGATTAAGTTGAAATTAATGTGTGGTAAAATCAACAGATAAACTTGTATTGAACCCAGAACATTCCTCTAAGTGCTCTATAGTGACTCTGGAAACCTGCTAGCAATGGCCCATAGATGGAGACATCTACTATGAAATGTCTTCTCCATTTTCAAGAAGTTTCTCCATTTTTTAGAACAGAAATGTTTTTGAAAACCAATCCACATGCAAATCATGAAACATCCAGAGAGATCTTAGATTGCTGATGTTTATCAGAAGAGACTCTCTACCTGAAACACAAAGGTGTCGTTGAACTGCGGATGACATCCTTTCCGCCGTGCTTTGGCCTGCCGGTGTCGTCGGTCGTCAGATGGCAACAGCTGCAGTTTGACCAGAGTGGAGTTACTCTGGCACTGAACCGGCAGGTTAGCGGCTCGGAGCAGAGACACCACCAGCTGCTCTCTCTCCTGCTGGTACCGCAGAGCAAACCACAGGCGAACCGCCGAGCCGTCGGGAAGGGCCCATTCACTGGGTTCCTCTGGGAGCTGGTACAGGTCTGGCCTTATGCAGCCCAGGGGAAACCAACCTCAAAAACCACAGAGCAGAACGAGAGACAGTCAAAAGATTATTCGTATACTATCTATTTATCATAATTTCTGACATCAAACGTCTTGATTCCAGTCCTGACATACTCCCTACTGTTAGAGAGCCTCGCTGGGTGTGCAGATCCGGATGGAGTTCCCATGCCTCCGCACACTCTCTTCCCTCTTTCCCCTCGTTTAATTGGGATGTTCTCTTGAATTGAGGAGGCACGAAGAAAGGAACTTCACCTGAACTGTGAAAGTTCAAAGGTTATACGAATGCACTTAAATCCACATTGCATAGGAAATGTTCGGTGCCAAATGTCACATATTCTTTTTTTAAATGTGAATATATATGACCAGGGGGTGGTCAAATGGCTTTAAACGATTTCAGTCAATGAATAAGGGTCTTATCAAGCGAAACGATCGCTCATTTAAAAAGAAATTAACAAAGTTTAAGTTTTATAAGCTCAAATGGTCGCCTTGCTCTGTTTTGTCATGTGCGTTCGTTCGTGACTCTCCTATTTAAACTCGTTTATCAAAATGAACAAATCTTTTCCCGAGTCAACTCGTTTGTTGAATGAACTAAGTGACACAAAAAAAGATTCGTTCATTTTGATAAACGGGTTTAAATAGGAGAGTCACGAACGAATGCAGATCACAGAACAGAGCGACCATTTGAGCTTATAAAACTTAAACTTTGTTGTTGTTTTTTTTTTAATGAGCGATCGTTTCGCTTGATAAGACCCTTATTCATTGTCTGAAATCGTTTAAAGCCTTTTGAACAGTTTGCAGTTTGCACTGAAACTGTCTTTTGGACCTTGAACCGTTTGGTTCCCATTGAAGTCCATTATATAAAGAAAAATCCTGGAATGTTTTCATCAAAAACCTTAATTTCTTTTCGACTGAAGAAAGGATGACATGGACATCTTGGATGACATGGGGATGAGTAAATAATCAGCAAAAGTTTTTTAAAAGTGAACTACTCCTTAAACCCCTAGTTGCTCCAGAGGCGTGCGACCTCTGACATATATAGCAATTGTAAGTCGCTTTGGATAAAAGCGTCAGCTAAATTAATAAATGTAAAAGTAAATTAATGATACAGTATAAATCTTACATATTATTGTCATTTCTAGACAAGCAACAACTGTTATTTACCCATAGCTGCTGCTCTCTGTTGTCTGAAGCACCGGAGCAGTGCATCGTGGGATTGTGGGGGTGGTAGGAATCAGTCCCCTGTAGAGTATTTGAGTTCGTCTCTTCCTCCACAGTAGATAGACTGATAGGCCGAACAGCAACAGGAACAGAAATGCTCCAGACAGTCCACACGCCAGTGCTACAAGTGGATCTAATAACACAGACACAGAATAAACTCAGCTGACGGTCACCCTCACCTCTCACTCAGTGTTTCATTCAACAGAGAACATGGCTTTGCATTAACTAAACCTGCTGTGTGACACCATTGGACAGTCTCTTTCTCTCATGCCTTTTAAATAGACGTGTCAAGTGTCTTGTGTCAACACACGTTAGTGGAGACCTGCATGCAAGAGGTGGAGATCATTGTGTTTCTGCTGCTCAAGAAGCACAGTATTTCTAGAAAAACAACCTGTTTTCACCTTTACTGTACTGCAGCCACCTTAAGGAATCCAGTGCAGGCGAACCAGAACTTTGTAACAGGTAAAGTAGTTGATTTTATAAAGCTCATCGTTCAGGAATTAATAGTAAATTTTACATGGAATAATTACTTATTACAGTGTAAAATATATTGAAGTGACATTTTGGTATATAATATAATTTAATGTTAAGCTTGTTTGGTTACTTTTAAATCTAGTCAGTGCTGCAAACCTTGTTTTAAATGTTTTTAAATGTTAAGTCATCATAGTGACCCAAAATTAAAATCATGTCATCATTTATACTCAAATCTGTCATTCCAAATCTGTATCGCCTTCTTCTGTGGAACATATAATAAGATATTTTGTCTCCATAAAATGAAAGTTAATGTTGGTTTGGGCCCCACTGACTTAGGACAGTCTTCAAAACATATTTTTTGTGTGTGTGTTCAATCTTAATTTTTGAGTTAACTATCCGTTTAAATAAGCATTTGGCATTTATGATACCAACTGGTATCTGTAGGCTAAAAGGGTAAACTATATATTCATTTAAGTGTACATATTGCACATTCTAAAGCCTCATCGGTCAATAATTGTTCAATAGCACATGAAGATTTTTATTGTGCAGTTTTTTAGTGGTCATTCAGCGTTAGTAGTGGTCAACCATATGTTGAGCAGCGTCTAATGGCATATCATATTATCAAACAGAAATACATGTCGCTATGACAGCACTAGACCATCATGTTTAGAAAAAAAAGCATTCGGTGCAACTAACATAGGCTACATACATAATAACCAGTCTGGCGAAACTTATTTTAAGTCACATTAGATGACAGAGCGGATCAAATATTTGCAGCCTGGTAAAACAAACAATGTGTGTTTGTCTTAAAGATCCACTATCACATAGTATTATATCTATGTAAAATAGGTCTCAAGTATATGGTTTGTACAATTGTTTCCAATAATCCTCTACTCACCAGCCATGGATGGCCACAGTCTCTGTCTAACTCCTAACTGAATAAAGTGTCTTGCTCTCTCCAATACAATCACCAATCAGTGGTTTCCCATTTTGCCCAGAGGCCGTCTCATTGGCACTCTTCCTGATGCCCCATTGAGAGTAAGCTGTGGCTTCTGACAGCCTGGTCACCCTACAGGAGAGTACTACAGTCTCCCTGAGGCTTCCCAGGTTAGTTAATCAACACGGTACACTGGTTTAAGCAGGTGACCGATATGTGCTCTGCCAGTTGCAGTATTTATTTCCAAACAAACACAAAGCCTTGATGCAGTGCAGTGAGCATACAAGCAAGCTACATGGACGTCCAACCTAAAGAGCTATTGAGGCAATTGTTTAAAGCTAGTTTGTATTTTTTATTTTTTATTTTAACATGTGGATCTTACTACTCTTACTTTATGGAACCACCACAGGGCTAATAGACTGTGGTTTAATAACTACAGATTGAATGTTGTTATGGAGTCCACAAGAGCCTAGTTTGCATTCACTAAGTGTTAATGAATAACTCTTGGAAAACAGGGGAAGTTTATCAAGGCTGTGATCAGGCAACACGTCTGCTGTTCCCACAATACATCTAAATGTAGTTAACAAGACATTAGATTGCAATAAAAACTTGCTGTAAACGAGAAGAAATCTAATTGAGTAAATTACAATCAATTTTGATGTGTTCAAGTGAATGTATAATGTATGAATATATAATTAGCTAGCAACAGTGCATGTTAGCACTACTCCAATATATTTGCGCCCAAAATCGCACTATAAACATTATGTGACAAAAAAAATATATGTCCGAAGCAAAAGTACCCAGTTAACCTGCTTCTGGCTAGAATTTTAAGTGTACTGACGATGGACAATTTACTGTTCCATGAGGCCACGGGAGAGGATTTGTGAATGGGAGTAGGTCACATGATAATGACAATATGGCAAATGTAGTACGTCAATATCACATTAATACTACTTTTCTTAATGCTCGCAAAGTAAGTACTTATTAAAAATAAGTACTCAAGAGAGTCTGCGATTTTGGAAGCAGCTATAGAGACATGTAGTCTGGCCCATGCAAAGCATACTGGGAACCCAGACCAGTTTGACTTTATTTTAACTAGATTTTTTTATGTAGTCCCAACAAATGGATTTTAGCAAACAAATTAAAAATACTGATCAAGACAAAATGTAAATGAAAAACTTAAGTAAATTAAACAAGCAGCAAAATATCTGCTATGGATATGTACTGTATTAAAAATGTCTGTAAGGAACAAATATATTGAACAATTTTAAGGGATAGTTAACATATTTGTTTTAATTATTATTATTATTATTATTACTTACCTTTGTGTCATTTAAGACCTGCACTTTCCGTCTTCTGTGGAACAAACATACAAACATTTTGTTATGAATTTTGTTATGTTTCATTTTGTCCTGCATTAACATTACATTTAGGTCAGGCTTTTTGGTCAAATGGGTTTAAGATGCCAGTGGAAATACACCTGACAAAACTGAACAACAAATAGACAGACAACAAAATGTCCTTACTGCAACAGGTTCTAGAGGGGAAAAAACATTCAGGTTTGTTATAGGGCAATTAAAAATGTGTTAAACTCAGCATGTTTATACACAAAACAGCATGTAATGATTTTGCTTTTGCTTTACTTTTGAACTAGAATTATTATGGAACAGGTAATCTGTGAGATTGCAATGACAAGTATATAAACAGGTGAATCAGATAGATGAGTCACAGACATATATCATAATAGTTTCCCAGCACCACAAGAGACTGTTTTCATTGTTCCCATGACAACTTAAAAAAGGCATGATGAAAATTCATCGGGCTCCTATTGAGCATGGCTGTTTCTATAGCAACAGGAAGAGAAAGACTGGATGAGTAAGAGGCAGGAGCTATGTGTGAGTGAGAGAATGAACATTTTATGTGTAACAAAGAGTATTTATTATATTGATTCGCAATGATATCTGATTTCCTTTTCTAACAACCACATGTTCCTCCTCTAAAACCCCCCTCCCCCCTCCATTGGGCATACAGTGCTTCTTGGCTACCCACCATTTCTGTCAGTGTGTCTTTGCACCTCCTCCCCCCTCCACCATGGATTTCCTCTCAGAGAGGGAGTGTGTGGTGTGTAATCAGCTGACAACAACTGATTATCCAGCAACACACCCACTCTGTCCTGTTCACTTAGAGCGGAGCGAGAGAGCACAAGTGGAGGAGAGAAAAGAAGTGAAGGAGGCGGAAGCTGTCTGGACTGAGGGGAAGGAGACGACAGGAGGAAGTGGGAGGTACATGTGCGTGTGTGTGTGTGTGTGTGTGTGTGTGGAGGGAAGGAGGGAGGTTGTTGATTTACCTGTGGCCATGAGGGAAACAGCTGTGTCTTATAAAGGAAGTGCTGCTCAGTGTGCAAGGAATGGTTTTTAAATAAGGGGGTGAGTGAAGGTGACAAGGAAGAAAAGACAAAAGGTGACTCAGGGCCTTGATTGGACCATATATACTTGCTAGCAAAACCAAAAGGTGAGATCTTTCTTGTTTCATTTTCTTGTATGGGATGAGAGGTTCATTCAGTGTTTATATTTGCATGTGTGTAAGAGTGTTTCCCAGTCTGAAGCTTGTGACGGATGGGTGGAGGTTAGCTTGTGGGTTGAGGTGGAAGAGGAGGGTTAACAGTGAACACCTTGTCTGTTATTTTTAGATGCAGTTGGAAGATAAGTATTTTGTTTTCCCATGATAACTGAGGACAGATAACATCCGCCATTATACTAGATTCACAGTCATTTGTACAGGTTATTTTCCTGGTCTGCTTTAGTGTTGTTATTATTATTAAAACACACTGATGATGATCAGTATTAAATAGTGTGAGATAACTGTAATAACAATATTACATATTTTTAAAGGTATAGAACACTTGTTGCGCAATAATGCCACCCTACAGATACAAAACAAAAGTGTAAGCCTATACTTTATTATTGTATGTGTTATCTATTAAAATTTGTGGATTTGATTTAGTTTATGAGCTGGATGCTGAACACAAATGGGCTTTAGATCTTTTGCTCCCACAGAATCAGACAACTTTTCATGAGAACATGTTATCTGAATTATAGATATAGTGCAAAAACACAAGGGATCAGAGATTTGTAACTTTTGTGAATGTTGCATGTTCTAATTCTGCAGAAATCTGCTGAGCTTTCTGCTAAGTTCTGCAAATGCAGGTTCTGTGGGCATCCTTGGAAGTTACATTTATATGGTATGATTCAACTATTAGTCACAGATGGCCTTGAGTTTACTCCTGAAAGTTCTGAAGTGGCTTTGAGACACTTAACCACCAGTTGCTTCAAAGAACATTCCCTGCATTTAGTCTACTGCAAGTTGCTTTAAAACAGTGGCAGCCAAATAGCAATTAACAAATAATTCTGAATTAACGTGTGCCTTGAATAGGCTTCAGAGATTAGAGTGTGGGTGTGTTGTGTTTTGGATTCAGCTGTGTGTTTGTGCTGACAGTAGGGAGTGACAGACCCAAAAGTCGGGGCTAGTAGCTAAAGTGGATAAAGTGTGATGTAAACATGAACAGACCTGACACACATTCACTCTGTGCTCTCGAGAGTTCCCAGAAATGAGAAATTCTCTCACAGTAATGATTTGAGGTTCAATATACCATGGAGTATAGGGCAGTTTGCAACATTCAACCCCCTGTCCTTTTTGGACCATGTGGTGTGGAATTGACCACCTGTACTGGAGCCCCATGTGGATTAATGTCCTTCTGAGAGAAGCTGAAATCCATGTTGCAGCTAATGATCTTAAGACTTAAATTGGGCTCATCCATCTGTAATCTGACCTATTCTCTTGGGAGAGACCTAGACATCAACTTTAATTTAGTAAGGAGAAAAGAAATCTTAGCTTTATACCGTAAATGTAAAGGTTTAAGGGTCATGCAGATTCATCAGAAATTCAATGTATTGTAAAGTTTCTAGTAGACAACTAATAAGAGGAAGAATTGGTGTGCGTTTTCCATCTTAAGAAATGTATAATCGTTTAAAATATATAGTGTAAATAAATACGTTTTAAATCATTGATATTAATTATACTTTTCATACTGAGTTGTGTCATTGTCTGTCTTTCTTTACCAGTAGATATTTCACTATGGAGGAAGGACAACGACCTACATCTGAGATCTACCTCCCAAGCATCAGCCTTGGATCTGTTGATGGCGAAGCAGTGGAGGACCATGAGCTGCCAACCATTTCTTTATCCAAAAGCTCAACAGAAATGGTGAGTGGACCTCCTCAACGAATGGAGCTGGCATGGTATCGTCAGAATTTGCGCAAGAGTGTCAGCAGTTCAGCATGCAGTCAAAGGCCTATCAGTCTTGGTGGACCAGCGGCTGGAGTTCCTGTGAACGTTTGTGACCATGAACAGGGGAGCTTGTGCAGTGGCAACAGCACCCCTGAGACTGTAATCTGGCATGGAGGAACTGCAAGATCCTGGAGCTTGATGGAGGACTCCCCCAGAAGGACTCCAACGCAGGATCTATTCCTGGGGCAAAATCAGGTCCATAGTGGTGTGAATTGTGTTCCACACTCGCCATCCACAAATAGAGATTTAAAGATGAAGGGTCTGGTTTGCAGGGAGGCATGTTGTCGATGTTATGGACCTGCAAATAACATGACAGGATGCAGCTGTTGCAGAGTGGCTTGCAGAATGAGTTCTTCAGGTCTGAGCAACAGCTTCACACCACAGGGAGTGAATACAAAAGACCATGCTCAGAGCAACTGTGAAGGCCATCCTCTAACTACATGCCATAGATCTACGTGTTCTGGTCACGTGACGAACACTGCCTGTTTGAGAAATGCTTGCAGTGTTGTTCCATGCCCTGGACATGTGATATCTCGGCCACCTTGTGCAGGAAACCCCTGTGCAGGACAAAGATCACTTCTTCATTCAGGCTTGCTTGGTTTTCCACCACTTGTGTCATCTGTCAGCGAGACCAGACTTGACAGCCGGACTACAGGCCATTGCTGTGGATCCGAGTTAAGGGGGCAGAACTCCTCCTGCCTTAGACTTGACCGGACAGGTCAGACTAGTCTTAACAGGACAGTCAAAGATGCCACGACCATGACATCTGACCATGAGATCAGAGATATTGGTGTGCAGACCATGTCTGATTCCCTTGTTTCCCCTCTTTCTCACATGTTTCCTGAAATTAGTTTGAGAGCGGATTCTACCTCGGATGCACCTTTGACAATAGAGCACATGTGTCATAGGACCCCTGTAAAGGAGGTGGAATGGGATGCTGAGGGTATGACCTGGGAGGTGTATGGTGCAGCTGTGGACCCTGAAGAGCTTGGCCTGGCAATCCAAAGGCATCTGGAAATTCAGATCAAAGAGACTGCAGCCGCTGCAGCTGTGGCTGCTCAAATGGAAGACTCCACGGACAATACCAGCAGCCTGGCACTGCAGCCCACGCGACGAAAGAAGAGTGAAAGCGTTATAAAAACACTGCGCAGTTCTGCATGTTGCACTAACCCCAGTACTGTGGGAGACTAAAGCAACTAGTGCAGGGCCTGAGCTTGCCTTATCGGTATGTGGGTGCCTCGGTTAGGCGTAAGGTATAGAAACGGTACAACTTTTGTTGCAAGGTGGAAATGGATGGAAAATGGCTAATGTCCTTCAAATAATATATCTAAATATTCCAAAGCCTTGTCTGCTTAGCTATCAAAGCCCTACTATTGGATCAGTAATGTGGTAATGTTCAGAGAAACACTGAAAGCTCATGTTGCACAGAACTACTGATTAAAGTTTACAGATAACGGTATGTTTCCACACATGGCCTTGTCCCTGTCTTGACCTTTAATGTATCTTTTGGATGCCCTTTTTTGGCGAAAAATACCATAATTATGATCTTGGTGAGCACTGAGTATTAGCAACCTTTAAACCGCTAATTATTGGCTAAATGTGTCTATTGTGCTTGTTGGGTTTTGAAAAAACAAAAAACAAATAGCATGTTAATGAGCATCAGCTAGGGCCCATTCTCATCCCAAGACGTCATCTAACTGACGCTTTTGACCATACGTCAACATCCGACATTTTAGGGTACCCTTTAACGTCAGTTAGATGATGCTATCTAATCCTAACCCTTCCTCAGACCTAAACCTACCCACGTCATCTAACTGATGCTAAAGGTAAAGCATCAGTTAGATGGCGCCCTAGGATAGCGTCATCTAACTAACGTTAAAGGGTATCCTAAAGCGTCGGATGTTAACTAATGGTCAAAAGCGTCAGTTAGATGACATCTTGGGATGAGAATGTGTTACTATACATTAAAGTTAACGGAGCTCTCGGACACCCTGAAAGGCTTCCTGGAGCAAGATCCGAAGGCTAGTTCTATAGTCTATGATTAAGATTTAGACCTCTTCGTTTTCTGATCTCACATATTCATGGTGTTAAACCGTTTTAAGTCAAATACAAGCTACAGCTCTCGCTCTCTTTTTTTGTTGTTGTCGTATATGTCTTGATGTAAATGGTGATTGGTAATGTTTTGGGTCTAGTGGGTTAGAGTGGGCTCTAGGCCAGAAACAATGCACAGTGCTAAAAATATGAAAGGTAGAGTAGACAATTACGGAGAGGCTAGCAATAGCAAGCTACTGTAGCTCTGAAAGCATAAGATCCCACCCTCTCTTCAGAGCGTCTCCAAAGCCACGACTCCTCCAAAACACATGAACACGCAAAGCCAGAGCAGAGTTTGCAAAGCGCCACGAAACGGCGTTAATTTATCTTGAACCACCTGACTGCAGCAGATTTATTATGTCATTGATAGTGTTGCAGCTAAGTTCAGGTAATTATTATAATGTACATTTACTTGGGTTTAACTGGTACGATTGGACAAAACTTTTTGGTTTTCGAGGCTTCCACAGAAACTAAATGTATTTTTTTAATATTTAGACTTCTGTTATTGATAGCTATCAGAATGTAAAGAGAGTTTCAACCAGTATAACAAAAAGTGAAAAACATTCCAATGCTCATGAGGTTTGTGGGTGTGTAAAGCTAGGTTCTTATCAAACCTTCCTGTAGCTCAAAACAGTAGAGCATTGGCGCTTGCAATGCCAAGGGCATGGATTCGATTTACCAGGGAAAACAAGAACTGATGATAAGATTGTAAAATGTGTACCTTGAAATGGAATGTAAGTCGCTTTGGATAAAAGCATCTGCCAAATGCATAAATATAAATGTAAACCTACTGATGATTAGTAAATACAGAATCAAGGTCAATGTTCCCACACTTCTATAGTACACTATGAGCTGAAACTAAGACCCAGTTCTATGCTCAGGGACAATCTCAATAAATCATAAAATTAAAACATGAACACTTGGAATTTGGTGCCAAAATCTGACCTGAAAAACTTCTTTCCGCTATTTTCATGTCACAATTAAAAAAAAAATTTTAAACTGTGGTTGTGTCCTATTCAGAACCTGTGCAAAGACAAAGATAATTTGACATTTTCTCATAATTTTATAATTTAATGTTCATAAATCATACTTTTTTGTCATGTAATATCATAAAACGGTTTGTTCATTATAATGTTAAAATATTCAAGTTTACTTGCTTCATTTCACAATGAGTAAGAGTTTTACTATTTTTTATGTACATCATGATCACATGTGCTATATCAAAACTATAGCATATACAGAATCAGTCATGATTTTTGTGAAAGTTAGGGATTGTAATTAGAGCGATGTGTCTGTAATGTTTAGATTATGTTCATTTAAATAGCATGGACGGACCTTATTGTGTGTATGTAAATGTGTATCTAGAATCTCTGACCAAATTAACAGTATGTGCTTCACAAACTGCTTTCGTTTTTCTTTGCCAAAGCAATGTTTTCTTTTTATCTTTTTTTTGGACCAGAGCATTGTGATTCAACATAATATAGATATTACTCAATCAACACCATACAGTATGATGAAAACAAGCTTTCTATATAGGCTTTCTACAGCAAAAAACTACAATAATGTGTTTTAAGATTGAGAATAGTGAATGTCTTGAAAAGTATGAGCAACAATAAAACATTTGGCAAATAATATTCAGTGTCTTTTATTTTGATTAATTAATTTCGAGATTACTTGTTGGCTTACTGGCAATGGGATTTCTCTTTGTTTGTGAAGATCGTGGAAAAGAGAGAGACATGGGAACATGTCAGAAGGTCCTGCTAAACTTGGTGAACTGTGTTTCAGTAGACTGCCCTGGACATTTCCATCGCTCTTTCATTGTAACTTTGACCAATTGGATGAGCTGGCACATTCCCTGGTATTGACTGTCCTGTCCCTGAGCAGGTGATCCCTTTTTGGAATAAATAGAACAGGTGAGCAGGGACACATCCTAAACAAGAATAATAAAACTCCATTCAGCCTGAATATATAGTATTCTCAGCATCTCCTGTCTTAAAATCTGCTCCACCAGAATAAACAACTTTCACAGGCCTTATTGTATATCTCTATTTTGCTTTGAATGCCCTCTGCTGGTAACATGAGAAACATGTTCATATTGCTACCAAACCATGCAAACTATACTATATAAATCTTCCATCCTTTACTAACTTGAACTCATGGAAGTTTAGCTAAAGCTATAGGCTAAGGATAAGACTAACTGTAATGTCTATTACGTAAATGAAGTGATGGTTTAAGGTCCAGCTGAAAAGTGGTGTCTATCCGCAAAATTCAGGCTATAAACAATCACCATTGTGCCCTTGAGCAAGTCTTGCTCCGAGGGGATTGTTTCTGTAATGGGTGGACTCACTTTGGATAAACGAGTGCCTGCTAAGAACAGGTTCTGCTAATATTTAATGAAATGAATATATAAATGACGCATGGATCTGTCATGATCTTGTTAAATATTTGTCAGGGTTTTACTCTTGAAAACTGCAGGGTTTTGGAAGTCAGCAGAAGGTCATGTGAAGGCCCATCCAAACAGCTATTAGCATGGCGTGACTGTAAGGAGGCTACTGGCAATCTATTCTGGGAGAGTTGTTTTGCACAGTATCAAGGGACGGACTGTAGCTGAAAGTGCTGATGGGACTCCCATGATCCCCTGGGGCTAGCGTGTTCAGAAAACCCCCAGCTACCCCACCAGAACAATCCAGGATTGGGAGGGGTATTGTGAAAGTGCTTTGTCCCAATGACAGAGGTGGGGAGTCCACAAAGAATGGCCTCTGCACTAGGCATGGTATAAATGGGTAATCACCAGGGCGCAACACACCGTTTACTGTAGATCATGGAAGTAAGGAGCCCATTTTTTCCACTGTTGCTAATGCTGCTGGGTCTGGCGCTGGACAGAGCATCCACCCATGCATTCAACCCAAGTCGCCTTCAACAGCACAAAGTCCTTCACCTTGGTGAGAAATGAAACGAACTCTAACCACTGACATCTTTCAAGTGCATTTCAAGTGGTGCTATCTTGAGAAGAAGAAAAAAAAACTGAATTTACACTTATTTCTATGTCTTTCTCAAAGATCCAAATATGGATTTCCTTTCCTTCTTTCCTCTCCTGGTACAACACCTTTCATTCGCTTCCACATAAATCCTGTGTACCTCATGTTTTCTTGTCTACATGGTACTTTAACTGACATTGACTTAAGTGTTGTTCTGTCCTTAGACTGGCCGAAGGACTGTGGCCTGCCTCATTTCAAACCAAACACAGTCGAGCGTATCGTGTCGGGCAATGAAGCGAGACCCCATTCCTGGCCGTGGCAGGTCTCACTACAGGTAAATTATCCTACAAATGACACAGCATGACTCAAGGTGTAGCAAAAGAGGAAGTCACTGATGCTTGTGTCTATTTTAATAGGTTCGTCCCAGAGGCAGTAAACATTATGTTCATGTGTGTGGAGGGACTCTGATCCATAAGAACTGGGTTCTTACTGCTGCTCATTGCTTCCAGAAGTAAGGCAAAGCATAAGTTTATCACTAGCAGGGTAGAACTAGGAGCACTCTTCTGCTTGGCAACTTTTCTGGTTGTTTTCCCCTTAGATATCATAATCAACCAACCACTTTTTGTATCCCTCTTGTTGACCAGGGGAAAAGCAGAGGATGCTAGTAGCTGGCGTATTGTTTTGGGTAAGCATCAACTGAAAAGATCAGAGTCCGCTGAGCGTACTTTCCCAGTGAAGAGGATCTACAGGCATGAGCACTTCCGTTATCCAGCCCACAGTGAGCTAGACTATGACATCGCATTGGTTAAAGCTGGCACGGACATCCCGACCACTAACTTCATCCGCTATGCCTGCCTGCCGCGCAAGCAGATCGACCTTAAACCAGGGCACTACTGCTGGGTGACTGGATGGGGGGACACACGAGGTAAAATATGTATCATAAGCCTTTTGTGCAATGCCATCATTGGCTCATAAAGTATAATAAGTGCAGAGTAGCACCCTCACTCACTACCATAAAAAACTGGTTAATTTTATGCCCCTAAGGGCGAAAACAAGAGCAATTTGATGTTGATATCAATGAGGTGATCCTCTTAACCAGAATATGGGTTTGGCATCTCTTCTTAGGCGGGAAAGAAAATGTGTCACTTGCTGAGGCACTGAATCAAGCTCGGCTCCCAGTCATTGACTACAAGACCTGCCGGCAGAAGAAGTTCTGGGGTGACCGCGTCCGAGACTCCATGATTTGCGCTGGGTTCCGTGATACAGAGGGGACTCCAGCTGCATGCCAGGTGAGAAAACTAATTAATGGGGAAATGTATCATGGTGCCCCATATTCAACTCTATTCACACCTTCTCTGTGGCTTTTCTTCCAAAAGGGTGACTCTGGTGGCCCGCTGCTGTGCCAGGTGGGGCGTGACCGCTGGGAGGTACACGGCATTGTGAGCTTCGGTCCTAT